AAAGTTAATCCGTTGCAATATTTGATGACCCGACCAACACTTTCCGGACGTTTAGCAAGGTGGTCGATGATTTTATTGCAATTCGATATAACTTTTGTTCCCCTTCGCGCTATCAAGGGACAGATTTTAGCAGATTTCCTTGCAGCACACCCACTCCCAGCTGGGTCCCCTCTCGACGATGAGCTACCAGATGAACAGATACTACAAGCGGAGCCGTCCAATATTCGACGTTGGGAAATGTATTTTGATGGGGCTTCGTCAGCCAGGAAGGATAAATGATTACAAACAGTCATACCGGGTAAAGCAGGAATCGGTTTGATTTTCGTCACGCCGGACCAAAGAATGTTAAGGTTTTTTTATCACTTGGCAGAGCCATGCACGAATAATGAAGCAGAGTATGAAGCCTTGATTACCGGATTAGAATTGATAATCTCGATGGATATAACGGACATTGCCATTTATGGCGATTCACAACTCGTCATTCAACAGGTTGCTGGACAGTATAAAGATCTTAAAGCCGAGACTGACAGAATACCATCAGTCTGCGATGAAGTTGTTGGAGCAGATTCCTAGCGTAGCTTTATACCAGATTCCCCGAGGAGACAACACTCAGGCCGACGCTCTAGCAAAACTTGCTAAGGAAATGACGTGTCCATCGAAGGATTCCGTCGACATTACAGTACAGGAGTGTCAGATTTTGTCACAGATTGACATCGACAGTTTGCACAGGCTCAGAAAAGAAGAAGAAATAGTGGCTACAGTGGCAGACAATCTCGAAGACCGGCGCAGGCCTTTGATAGAGTATTTGCAAACAGGAAGATTGTCAGAAGATAAGTCAACCGCATATCATATCACGAAAAGAGTCTTGTCGTATGTCTTGGTAGATAATGTCCTCTACAGGAGGTCGTTTGATCAGATGTGGCTGAGATGCCTGAGCACAGCCGAAGCGCAGGGTATTGTCAAAGAGGTACACGCCAGATTGTGTGGAGCGCACCAGTCAGGGCCGAAAATGAAAATGAAGATTAAAAGACTTGGATACTATTGGCCAGCAATGTTAACGGATTGCATGGATACCGCTAGAAAGTGTCACCTGTGTCAGGTGCATGGAGTGGTCTTGCACCAACCTCCGAATGTGTTACACCCGACCGTCGCTTCGTGGCCATTCGAGTATTGGGGCACGTACATAGTGGGTCCGATAGACCCTCCATCTTCAAAGGGACATAGATTCATTCTCGCAGCTACATATTACTTCTCCTTCTCCAAAAATAGGCAGAGGCAATACCGTTACGTGAAGTTACAGCGCAACACGTTCTCCAGCTTTTCAAGAGTCAGATTGTCTACCGCTTTGGTGTTCCGCGCAGAGTGAAAGAGTGATTTCCGACAACGGGTCAGCGTTTAAAAGTACTAAGATCAACAGCTTCGTCAGACGACATGAGATAGATTGGAGGTATTCCATGATTTATTATCCCAGAGCGAATGGTTTGGCTGAGGCCTTCAATAAGACGCTCGTGCAGATTTTGAAGAAGACGTTGGACGAGAACAAGAGAGGTTGGCATGAGAAGTTGTTAGAAGCTTTGTGGGCATACCGGACGACATTCAGAACTCCCACCCAGTGTACACCGTATGCGCTCGTCTATGGGTCCGAGGCCGTGCTTCCGTTGGTTGGAGGTTCAGCTACCGTCTCCTAGAATAGCCGTCGCTAATCAGATTACAACAGAAGGCAGCGCCAAACTCAGACTTGCAGAGTTGGAGAATCTCGAAGGAAAACGATTAGAAACGCAGCAGAATCTAGAACTTTACCAAGCGAGAATGGCGCAAGCTCACGACAAGCTGGTCCGCCCTAGAGCGTTCAAAATTGGTTATCTCGTACTTGTTCTCAAGAGACCTATTCTTGCACACCGCAAGATAGGTGGAAAGTTTGAGCCAACTTGGGAGGGACCATTTGTCGTGGAAAAGGTCTATTCAGGGGGATCTTACCAGCTAGTGGACTTTTGAGGCGAAAGACCTATGTTGTCGGTCAATGGGCGATATTTGAAGATTTATTATGCACTTAACGCTCCTTGGAGTGAAACTCCGGAAATAATGTTGGGTCTGAGGAATGACTATTCGACTAGTGTCTGTGATTGGGTCCCAAAATTTTGTAATAAAATTAATCTTAATGAAATGAAAATTTGAATTTGCACTTATAGGTTCCTCACTTTTTAACTAATTTCACCAATTTAAATTAAGAAGAAAAAAACACCAATTAAAAAAAATACATGTTTGCACCTTTATAATTCTAAAATTTACTTAATAATGCTCTGTTGTTCTTGTTCGTTTTGGATTTCAGCGCGCTGATGTTTTCCTGTCTTTTTGCAGGAAAATGTAAGTCCGAAGCTGATCTTCTCTTTTAAAGACGGCTTAAATCTCGCACTTAATAAAGAAAAGGCAGTTCAGGGTGGCGTTGTGAGCTTTGACTTGGACTACGATTAGGTCAAAGTTGAATACGAGGGTCCTCTGATGGACATCGTCAGCCGCCGAGAGACAGAAGGCTTACCGTCACTACTCAAAATCGGTGTCAGTGAAGACTCCTCACTGAAGAGACAGAAAGTGGAAAGGATATAGTATCCGATGGAAGGGACTAGTCAGTTGTAGTCGATGATCACCACACCGACGGGAGGCTTGGTCGGTGCTTTTGCTGATAGAGTTCCTGACGTGCCATTGAGAAGGACACAGCGTCGAAATGCCAACCGCCGTAAACACAGAGCCTTCGTTCGCCTGAAAAGAAGACGTACAAGGGAGGCAGAAGCAGCACTTATCCCGATTCCTGAGGAGAGGGTCTACGACCATAGCCCAATAGAAACTTCCACTAATCCGCCAGTCGCCGGAGGCAAGATAGGGCTTGGTGTGGATTCTACACAGTCAGAGATTCCCGACGAGCTTTGCCCGGGATGTCCAATGTGTAATGTAGAGATCCCGAGGCGGACGTCAGCAGCCGGGGCATTTACAGAATGCCCCGAGTGTAATGTTCTACACCTGGAGCGCTACGGGACATTCGAGGAATACACTGCTGCGAGTATGATATTGAGAAATGTCGACCATCCAGAAGTCGAGCCGTACGTCCCAAGGTTTGCTGAGACGCTGCAGTTCTGGATAGGGGAGCAGCCCCGACACGTACAAAAGATTCCTGCAATCGAGCTTGAAAGAATGAACAGAGTCAAAAAACAGGAATTTGAATTCTACGAGGGGATCCGAGGAAAGTCTGTCAACATCTTGGAGGGTTTGGAATTACATACAGGAGTTTTCTCTGAAAGAGATGAGAGAAGGATTCTAGACTGCGTGTTTGACTTGCGAGACAGAGGTCGTGCTGGATTATTGATGAAGAAAACGTACTCAGAGCCGCAGAAATGGATGAGAGGCAAAGGACGAATTACAATTCAATGCAGTTGCTGCTACAACTTCACGAGGGATAGGCTGGGGAATCCCCCGAGCATCTTAGGATATGACGAGGTGGATCCTTTGCCTTTCGAGATAAGAAAGATGATCAAAAGAATGGTAAGGTGGAGCATACTGTCTGCAGATTGCATCCCGAATAGCTGTATTATTAACATTTATGAGGAGGGAGACTGCACTCCGCCCCATATAGATTACCACGACTTTGTCAGGCCTTTCTGTACAGGTCCTTCATGAGCAAGAGCAACATTCTATTTGGAAGAGAAATCGACATTGTAGGACCTGGAGAGTTCAGAGGATCAGTCGAGATTCCGCTGCCAGTGGGTTCAGTTCTGATTTTGAAAGGAAATGGAACAGACTTGGCGAAACATTGCATCCCAGGAGTGCCACATCGCAGGGTTTCTGTTACTTTGAGAAGGATGGACGATAGCAGGGTGCCACACGGGTTTCAACCAGATTTAGAATTGGAGGAACTACGCCTGTACTAGTTGTGAGATGGCTGTACCTCTAAGTATACGCGAAAGGACTCTTGCCCCGAAGCGTGGCTTAGAAGGTTAGCTTGATCACGAGCTGGCATCGAAAGATGGACAGATATTTGTTACCTTTTTGTACGACGTCAGAACGGAAGTGATATGATATGTGATACTACAGTTCTTACATGAATGTACTCAGCATGCTGTTTTGGGCAGTTTCAGCATATGATCGGTTGTATTACTTGATTTGGAAGAAGATTCAATGAAGCTTGTTGTGAATTTCGGCATGCTTGTTGAGTTGCCTTTCTGTGCGTATGATGAAAAGCAGCATGACCACACGGTGGTTCTAACCTATAACGAACAAAGAACGACATGAAGAAAATTTAATTATATAAATAAAATTCAAAACTAAAAATATATCATGATAATAAAATCTATGCAATAAAAAAAAAAAAAAAATGGTAACCAAATCAAAATCATTCACGTTTCCCTCACGTTCCACATCCTCACTTCACGGAATCCTGCGTCTCTCCTTCGCGTTCCACATCTTCACTTCACATAATCCTGCACATTTCACTCGCATTATGCATCCTCCACATACGCTCCGCATCTTTCTCACTGCACAAAACGCTCCGCGATCCTCACAATCACCACTCACATTTTTTCTCCGGGACCGTTGACCTCCGTTCTACTCCCTCGGGACCGTAGGCCTCCGCCCTACTCACACCTCCCACCGAAATTTTCCGGGACCGTAGACCTCCGTTCTACTCCCTCGGCACCGTAGGCCTCCGCCCCTACTCCCACCAAATTTACTCCGGGACCGTAGACTTCCGTTCTACTCCCTCGGGACCGTAGGCCTCCGTCCTACTCCCACGAAATTTACTCGGAACCGTAGAACTCCGTTCTACCCTCCCACGAGATTTACTCCGGGACTCCGCCCTACTCCCACGAAATTTACTCCGGGACCGTAGACCTCCATTCTACTCCCTCCGGACCGTAGGCCTCCGCCTTACTCCCACGAAATTTACTCCGGGACCGTAGACCTCCGTTCTACTCCCTCGGGACCCGTAGGCCTCCCCCTACTCCCACCAAAATACTCCGGGACCGTAGACCTTTGTTCTACTCCCTCGAGACCGTAGGCCGGGACCGCGTAGCTCCGTTCTACTCCCTCGGGACCGTAGGCCTCCGCCCTACTCCCACGAAATTTACTCCGGGACTCCCTCGGGACCGTAGGCCTCCGCCCTACTCCCACCAAATTTATTCCGGGACCGTAGACTTCCGTTCTTCTCCCGGCCTCCGCCCTATTCCCACCAAATTTACTTCGGGACCATAGACATCCGTTCTACTCCCTCGGGACCGTAGGCCTCCGCCCTACTCCCACGAAATTTACTCCGGGACTCCCTCGGGATCGTAGGCCTCCGCCCTACTCCCACCAAATTTACTCCGGGACTGTAGACCTCCGTTCTACTCCATCGGGATCGTAGGCCTTCGCCCTACTCCCTTTTCAGCACTAAATTATACACCAATCATATTTTAATTCAAATTCGAAATTTACACTCGAAACTCGACAGTCTGAAATCCACATTCTAATCCCCAGCGGATATGTTTTTATCACTCATTTCTACGCTTTGTTCTAGGTATGTTGGCCTAGACTTTTGTATTGGGTCTGTTGATCTTTTCGGTCAACACCAATACGCGCGGTGTGCTCGTCCGACACACCACACCTATTGGGTGTCCATTTGTTGACCTCATTTTTAGTGAGGTCTAGTATTCCTCTTAGGGTTTAGGATCTAGCCTTAGGGACCTCCCTTCGACCATCTTAGAACCTTAGAATTGGGACCCGCCTTGTTCTAGAAATTCAACCCGCTTCATTCCCCTTCTGGAGTTTCGCGTGTGTGGTATCAACTTCTAGTACTTAAAAGGATAAAACCAAGATGAGAAAACCCAAAAGGGATTCCCTATAGGACCTTCCTGAGCCTTAGGGTGGCCTTTTGCACAATTCGCACTCTAGCGCACAAAACTTCGCAATTCGGAGAGTCAGAGCGTCCGATCGCCACGATTCGCTTCGTCTGCACTGTTACTTGTCGAATGCTCGAGTTAACCTTTTGAAGCGATCGATCGCGGGTCGAAATTTTGTAAAATTTGAATTTTGACGCGTTTTTGACCCGATTGTCGACGATGTCGTCCGAGCGTCCCCGGATGACAAAACGGACTGTGCCGGCGCTCCCAGAACGTCGATTTTGCCTAGGGAAGACACCCATTTTGTTACGTCGTCGCGCATGAATAAATCGAATATAATTTAATATATATATATATCTATCTATATATATATGTATATATATATATTAATTTATATTAAACTTTTTTTCCCCCTTTACTCTTTA